GCTCGCTAGGGCTGCCATAACAAATACTGTACCACAGACTGGGTGACTTAGACCACAGGTATTTATTTCTTCGCAGTGTTGGAAGCTAGAAGTCTAAGATCATGGGGTCCATAGGGTTGGTTTCTTCTCAGGACCTCTCCTTCAGTTGTCCATGACTATCTTCTTCTAGTGCCTTCCTGTGGCCTTCTTGTGTGTCCCTCTGTGCCCTAATCTTTTCTTCATGTAGGAACAGCTGTTCATGTTGAATTAGGACCTAATCATCTAACTTCATTTTACCTTTATCTTTTGAAAGCCTTATCTCCAAATGCATTCACATTCTGGAGTACTGCAGATTAGGACTTTATATTTGGGGAAGACAGTTGAACTCATTAGAATCAGATGAGACTGATTCTAATCCTGTTCATCATCCTCCTCATCATTAAAGCTCAACAAAGTACAGCAGACTTAGTTTTGATATGTCCCCCAGGAACACTGAAATGTTAGCTGCTATTATTATTTTTGTTACTATTATTAAGCGTTGCTATTAGAACAGCAGAGCTTCTTTCTCCGCCCTTTCAGAAATAACTTTTTAAAAATTTGTACTGGAAGTGGAACCCAGGGGCACTCTACCACTGAGCTACATCCTCATCCCTTTTTATTTTGCCCAGTCTGCCCTCAAACTTGCAGTCCTCCTGTCTCAGCCTCACAAATGTCCAGGATTGTAAGTGTATGCTACCATACCCAGCCAGAAATGACTTTTTGTACCAGAGACAGATTTCAAATATGCTAAGCCTGTGGTTTCTCAAATGCTAAGCTTGTGGTTTCTCAAGGTTTCATTTTCATCTTGGCCAAAAGAGACAGCCGAGTGAGACGTTACAGAATATATCTAGTAGCTGGCAGAGCCCAAATTGCAGCCTGCTCTATGTTTCATATTAGGAAATAACCCTTGCCCAAATACTTGTACCACAGAGCACACAGCATCTTTCACAGGCTCAATATATTTTGCTTGACATTGAGGAGCCGGCTGGGGCCAGCCACTCGAAAACTCAACTCTGTTCCTTTGATCTTTTGACGGTTCTGAGCACAAGGAGGAAAGACCAGTAATGTGACCTCTAGTCACTCATCCCTCCTTCTCACCTTATCAGATAATGAAAATATGATGGAGTACCCTATACTTGGAAGAGCTGTGGCATTTGTCCTTACTAGAGGGATAGGAGTGGGATCCCCAGGGAAGATACAATGAGAACATGGGGTGTGGGGGTCTATAACCCACCCCTTCATGTTATTTTTTAACATGCTTAGATCTGCTGAAGGAGGGGGTTTTGAAAAATGAGAAAAAATAACATTAATCATTACTAAGAGCTAAATGCATCCCCCTGGTTAGCAATTCATGTAATATAATAGAGATATAAAGAATGACAAAAAGAAGCAGCAAGTTATATCATGCACAGGTACAAATTCTCTATGATGAATGTTATTATGTATATCTAAATGTACCAATAAAAATGCAAAAGGAAAAAAAGTAACAAAAGAAGAAAATGACCTCCTCCCACTCCTCAGAGAGGAAATTACTGCTAACTGTGATATATTCTTCTTTTGACCTTTTTCATCCTTTAAAAAATTTTAGCTACACTATTAGTAAGGAGTACATGCATTAGTCATAGAAATCCAGCTAGGTAACTGTATAAAACTCAAAGACAGGATCCCTCTTTCCTTTTCTGAACATTTCAGCAAGCCTCTCTTCTTCCCCAGCTTGTGAAATTGCATTCTAGTTCTTTTTTATGCATTTATACGCACACACACACACACACACACACACACACACAAATTCATATATAAATTTGACCTTTTTTTTCTACAGAAAAGATCATGCTTTCTACAACAAGCAATTATGTTTTTCTTTTAAACCTGTATATAGTTGTAACTGTTCTTTAAAAAATTGGTTGAAGCCAGGCATGGTGGCACACATCTGTAACCCTAGCACTTCAGGAGGTTGAGGCAGGAGAATCACATATTCAGGGACAGCGTGGGCATCTTACCAAGACCCTGTTGCAAAATTAAAAAATGAAAAATGGGCAGGGCATGTAGTTTAGTGTGAAAACCCTGGGTTCAATCCCCAATAACCGATAAAAACAAAAAAAAAGGTTGAATAGTTCATGTACCAGAGTTGTTTTCCTTTTCTGGAGGGCAGGTAGAATGCTAAGGATTGGACCAACAGATGCTCTACCACTAAGCTCTATGCCCCATCCTTCAGTTTCTTCTTTGAGACTGGTGTCTCTGTGTTGCCCAAGCTGACCTTGAATTAGTAATCCTCCTGCCTCAGCCTTTCAAGTAGGTGCAGTTACAGTTGTGTGCCACCACTACCTGCTACATTTCTTAATTATTTTTTTGTTTTTAAATAATGTTGCAGTGAACATTTTATGTATATATCTTTGTGTGTGTGCAAGTATCTCTGTTAGTATAAATTCCTACAAGTGAAATTAACATCCTCAGATACTCAGCGGGAATTTTGAAAAATGAGAAAATGAGTCAAAGTGAATAAGAATTCAAGTATTTTGATAAATATTGACAAATTGTTCTCCCAAAACAATGTACCTTGTTTTTTCTGCTATGTATTATATCTTAGGGTTTTACCATATTAGTTTAGACATATTTATGTAACTTTTCATTATACAAATATTCAAACATACTGAAAAGTTGAAATATGAATAGCGTGATATATATATATATATATATATATATATATATGCAATTGTTCTCATTTTTTGTATTCACTTTCCAAGCCTATCTCACTATCTTTGCTGAATGATTGGAGAGAAAGTTACAGTATCTTGATAACTTCACATATTTCAGCCTGCAGGTCTAAGAGTAAGAACATTGAACCCAGTGCCCTATGGCTACCAAGGGAGGACCAGCTGTACACTGGCTAAGGCCATAAATTCTAGAGCAGACTGCTTGGATTTGAGTCCCGCCTCTTACCAAATGAGTTCTCTGCCCTTCAGCAAGCTATCTAATCTCTCTGAACCTTGGTTTCTCATCTTGATTTTAAAATTTTTTTTTATTTTCTCATGTCTACAATGAAGTTAGTTAGGACAATATAGTTGTTATGAGAACTCACCTAAATTAATAGTTAACAAAATGTTTATGATAAGTGCACAAAACATATTAAGTTGTTATATTTTTATAAATTTAAAAACCTCACAACAATATTATAACAGCATTATTATTTCTGTTTTACTGATGCTAACACTAGGGTGGAGAGGTTATGGGACTTGCCCAAGGCTATGGGATTATTCGATAGCAGAATCAAATCCAATCAGGGAGAGGCAGTGGGCACTGGAAGTCCAGGTGAGGAATCCGCATCTGGAGTTTGAGAGGTAGGCAGAGGGACTGCCTGAGAGGGCCACGAGACTATTGCCTGCAGAACTTTGTCCCAGTTCTCTGCTTCCTGCTTTCGGACAGCAGCCTGGCTTCCAGAGGCCATTTCAAGGAGAGGTCAAGATTCTGATTACAGCCACACGGCTGGGGCTTTTCCTCATTGCCTATTTTTCTGAGTGACCTCAGTGAAATCAGTTAACCCTTTTATATTTCAAGTTCCTCATCTGCCAAAATGAAAGATTGAGTAGATTATGGATGTAAAAATATTAGAAAAGTGTAAAACAGTCCTCAAATTTAAAATAGCAGAGCCTTGCGCCACCACTTCACTGAGGGTCAAGTGTGGGCCTCTTGGGCATCCATACCCACCTTTGTGCTAGTAACGTCCAGTGTCAAATCTCATAACCTATCCCAGCATGTTCAGAGATGCCTGGAAGCTCACCTCCTTTTCTGAATTTTTACATAACCCTCTGTGAAATAAAATTATAGTTGAGCATCATCTGGGGCCCTAGGAAATTCTCCTTCATGTGGATTCTATTGTTAAGAGCCAGAGCTATTGTTTGTGTCCAGGGTCCACAGCTGTCCCAGCTTCTGTTCTGGAAGCTCTACCATTTTTTGGTATTAGCCCTTGGCACAAGGCAGGCTTGACCTGCTCTCAGTAGCACACAGTGTTGAGTCTGGGCCTGCCCTTTAGGGAGCAGGAAGGCAGCTGACACCTTACCCTCTTGGCTTCCTTGTCTCTCCGGGTTTCCTTGGTGTAAGAAGGGATCAAGTTAGGAATTTAGCGTGCCCCATAGGCTAGGCTTCTTGCTAGCTGCTGAGGCTCTTTCCCAGCTGTTTCTGTGTTCTGCCTGCTGCCAAACTCAAAAGCAGGCTCCCCGTTCCCAGGTGGAAGCACTGGTGATCCGGAGCTTCCTTTTTGCAGGAGATTGGAGACAGAGTTGAGAGAGTAGGGGTGTGGGGTGGCGTGAGGGTGTGCAAGTTCATTCTGGCAAGCTATGCCAGAATCGGCCCAGTTGCTTAGTCTTCTCAAAAATAGGGCACATCGGGGTCTGACACCCAGGTATCTAATGGGAAAACTCATTATTCTTGGAGTCAGTTATTTTTATTGGAAATTGGGAGAATAATAAATTCTCCTTTATATGTTCTTTGTGACCCATGAGAAATGTTAGAAATAGTTTGTAGTTGGTCAGCAGTGGAAAGTGATAGAAGATTGTGTTTCTTCAAGTGTATTCTATAGAATGTTTTTTTTTAAGTCACTTGCTAAATAAATTTGGAAAACACTAGAGAAACAATGTTAAGTAGGCTTCTCTACAGAGACCGTTCAAGTCCTTAATGTACTACTAATAGGTGTGTCGAACCTCCAAGGGAATATACTGTATGTAAAATTTTTAAGTTTTTCACTAATCTTTTTTGGTGGAGTATTTTTTAATTGCTGTTTTTGCAAAAACACCTTGGAACATACTGATCTAGGTTGGACGTTTATTCATTTCATTCTTTCTTTTCTCAAATTGGGAAGGGAAGTGAATTAGTGAAATGCCTGGGGTTACTAAAATGTGGGTCGAGAAGAGCAAGTCGACCAAGTTCAGAAGCTATTGCAGTGAGTGCTTCCTGTTCTGAAGCCTCTCTCTTTCTTGTCCTCACAGCTCCCCTTTGAATTGGAGGTCTACTACATTCAGCATGTCATGCTCTACGTGGTGCCCATCTACCTGCTTTGGAAAGGAGGTAAGGCTAGCAAACTACATCCCTGTACCACCTGCACACGCCTCTTCCTCTAGTCTGTAATCTCTTCCATACCTATTGGGATCTTGGACTGCTGTTTGGCTGGGTCTTCTCAGCATGCCTGATGTCAGATGTCAGTCCCTGAGGAGATGAGCATGGATGAGGCCTACAGAGAGTCTGGGGCTTTTCAGAACCATCCTTTGTGCTGCCACTGCCTGCCTGTCAGAGGGCCCAGGCTTTGGGCTCTTGGTGGCAGCTTGGGTTTGCATGGTACCCCCATACTCTGTCAGCTTGTTATGAGACCTCTTCCTGCTCAGCATTCTTCCATTCCTGGAAGGACCCAGAAATGGAAGACATTCTCTTTCACCCTTCTCTACCAGCCTCTTTGTCTTAGTTGCTGAGACTTTGCTGGAAGATGAACCCCTCCCTACCTTACCTTACTCAGCAGTGGTTTCATTCCTATCACACTAAAATGGCATGAGATCACTTGGACCCTTGAGCTCACTGGAACGTGGCCTGGACCTCTACTGGGCTCTGCTGCTTCTTGGCAGTGGAGATTTGCTTCCTATGCCATTTTCCAATCAATCAGACCTCTTTTCCATCAATTTGTGTATTCGTCAAGGCTGCTTTTACCCTGTGCAGCCACTGGAAGTCTGATGCTGTCAAAGAACACTTCTTGTAATCTGCTTTAAAAGCATTCGTTTTCCTACTGAGCCTTAAGGGAAATCTGAAATTCTAGTATCCAGGAGACGTGCTGTTTCTCAGCACAACAGCATCCCTGAACAGAACTAGGGTACCAGACTCTAACCACCCATTGTTCCTGGCTTCTGATATGTGGTAGGAATTATGGACACATCTGTGTGTCTGTAATTTAAACATGCTTGTACTCTGAAGTCACTATAAAAAGCTGTCAGATAGCTGGTCTAGACTGGTCAGAGAGGGGAAATCCCAAGTAGCCATCCTTTCCTCCAAATGAATACTCTGGGAAGCCACTCCCTCTAGACGGGGCTGGTTCTTTTGCAGTCTTTTGTTGGATCTGTTGCTGTGCTATTTCATGGAGCTGAGCCAAGAAAGATTCTGAGTCTTAATTCCAATTTATTTCCTACTCGTAGTCACTCTCTCCCCTTCCCCTGGCACATGGCCCTGAGAAGGTGCAGCAGCAATAATAACTACAGTAAATATCAGGGACTTCTTTTCATTTCATTGAGTGTTTGCTTTGCGTATTTTCCCACCCTGTTGAAGAGTACTCCTATAGAGAATATCAAGGCCCAGAAACATTGCATTCCTGGCTCACAGCCATAGGTAATAGAGCCAGGGTTCAAAGCCCTGCGCAAATACCTTCCTAGTCGAGCACTCTTTCCTGTGTGCTATGCGATCAGGGTATCTGTCTCCCAATCACATCAGACTAAGTGTCTTCTCAACCAGCTGCCCTGATTGAACTATTTACTCAACACGCATTTGTTGAATGCCTACTATGTGCCATGCATTAGGAAATCAGAGATGAACCAGAAAGACACAGTCCTTCCACAAGGAGTCCCTGTCTGGTTGGGAAGACCCACAATTATAATGCAATGTGATAAGTACTACAGAGGATAGTAGGGGAGTAGAACATTATTTCCTAAGCCTAGCTTATATTCCCTTCTTTGTCATTTCTGGGAAAATAGTTGTGCCTGCTTATGAAGATCTGATTGGTAGTCCAGATCCCTAACTGGTGAACTGAGAATTAGTAGGGCTATAATGAGCAAAATGATATACTCTTTAACTGCTCACACCTTGTTGATGCCCCAACTCAGTAGAGCAAGTAGAGCGATGTCACAAAGCTGCTGTTTGACTTGTAGAACTCAGTGAGCCCCCACGAATTCTATCTGGTCAGCCTGAAGCTCTTTTAGAGTTTTGGCTCCTTTTCCAGCTCTTTGCTGCCATCTACTGTTCACATGGGGATTACAAGCATGGAGAAAGAAATCTAGGATTTCCAGCCGGTTTCACTTGAGGTCCTTCAGCCTTATGGAGGGGGACCAGATCTGAGCAGCAGGTGAGGATATTATATCCCTGTAAACAAGGAGGCTTACAGTTTAAGGCTTCTGTTATCTAGACGAATCTTGGGATTTTTCAGAAATAAATGGCTTAGCAGTTTTTACTTAAAGCAAGACAGCTCTGGTCTAGAGCCCTCCTTTGCCTGGGAGCCCCGTTTTCCCGAAAGGTAAAGTCCTGCTTGAGCACAGCATGTCCATTCTGTGGTTTGGTTGTGGGTGAGTGTGTTAAGTGGGAATCCTGTTCCGTGGGCACCATCATAGTCCATGTGACTTCTCTTCAATTTTGCTCTTCTTTTCTTTGCTTCCCTCCCTCCCATCTCTTTGCCTTTGGCTCTCTAGAGCTATTTTGTTTTCTGTTTTGTGACAGTATTTATTTAAATATTTTTATTGGATATTGACCAATTGTAATTCCGTATATGTATAGGGTTTACAGAGAGTCTATAAAGCATGCAATGTAAGGTAATGGACTCGAGCTAATTAACGTACTTTATCTCTTGGCAACCACAGAACATCCCTTGCCCAGCACTCCCTCAGTAGAACCTGTTTTTTCTGTCCTGCCCTACATGCTGCCCAGCATGACACCCTCTGTCTTGGTTACTTTTCTCCCCTTGCTGGGACAGAATACCTGACACCCAAAATTAAGGAAGGAAAGATTTATTTAGCTCACAGTTTGTGTAGATTTCAGTCCGTACTCGACTGGCTCCAAGGCAGAGTGGCACATGGGACAGGGCAACTGTTCATGGAGATAGCAAAAGCAACAAGAGCAAAAGGGGAGCAGTGAAGGCCAGCAGCCTTTTTCTCTCCCTTACATATGCAAACTATCCGCCCCAGGGCGGGTGTAGTTCTCACACCCAGAATCCTAGCACTGAACTGTGGATCCATCAAGTATCTAAAAGCCCACCCCATGATTGCATGAGGATTTGGGGGGCCATGCAGACACAAACGATAGCACCATCTCTTCTAGATCGCTGTTTCACCTCTACTTTATGGGAAAATGCTTCTTTACTGTTCTGTCTCTTTTGCATCACCACCGTCACTAACCTCTTGGTCACTTACTTTCCATTCTAGAAATCTGTGGGCTGAGAGTCTCAATATTTCCATTATAAGTGTAGCTGACAACATGATGGGCCTCTAGTGAAGACCTCTGGTCCTACCCCAGCTTTTCAAGGTCTGGGCTTAAGTTGCAGAGATTTCAGCATCTCCTTTTTTTCAGCCGCCTGGACCTCATCTTCCCTCAAGACTCCACCGTCTCAGATCATAAGCTCCTGTGTTCCTTTCTTGGAGTCAAATTTCTACTACTTTCAGTGTCCTTTCTTCCTACACGGCTTATATCACAGGACCAGTTACTGGAACTTTCTCCTTACTGCCTCCTGAAAGTGTCTCACCCTCTTGTCCCTTCCAGCTGGGCTCCATGTCCAATCCCTTTTCAGTGTGCTTAGTCTCAGCCTACTGGAGAAAATCTCTTAAGTCATTCTGACTAGGGTCACTAAGCTTCAGGGTCTCTATTATAACTGCTCTAACACCATTGCTCGAGTGTTTTATCTTGGTTCGGCCCTTCCACACAGGGCCCTCAGAAGGCAGGTGTTAGCCTTGTCTACCATCTTCAGGCTTCCTGGCCACTGTATTCAAGCTTTTGCCCTCTATCCAGTAGATGCCCTGCCCCACAAATGACTGACAGAATAGACACTTTTAGGTGGGAATTCCCTCAGTTCTTTTGTCCACTTCAGCAAGCTTTTTACTTAGATGGTTATATTGTTCCTCTGTCCCATCCGGGAAGAAGTGATATTCCACTTGTCTGTGGCTAATCATATCCCTTTATGGTTACCTCCCATCCCTCCCACCTCCTCTAGAATTTATTCCATCCGTGAGTTCCTCGTTTACTGGGACTTTCAGCCCAACCTTTTTTTAACACCTGGATTTTCAGCCATTAGTGATACTTCAGGCTGGGAGTGGCAGGACATACCTGTAATCTCAGCACTCAGGCTGGAGAATTGACAGAGTTGGAGGTCAGTCTGGACCACAAAAAAAAAAATTAAAAAGATGTGCAAGTCTTTCCCATTCTAAACAAGTTTCTGTCAGCCCCATCCAACTTTCTTCTTTGCTTTACCACCAAGCTTCTCAGAAGAATAGTCCAAGCAAAACCTCTCAAACATCAGTTCTTTGGGCATGACAATTTTTGCTTTCTCTATGTAAAGATCTGTATTATTATGTACATAATATACATCCGTAGTTAAATCTATTGACTTTCTTTTTACTAAAATAATTCATTCTTAAGGGAAACCTCATGATATTCATAAAATCATAGCTTTGATTTGCTGGCTATGTTAATGTACTTTAAATATATAACTATTACAAATGAAATGTTTATCTGCTTACTGCTTTAATTCACCCTATGAACATTCTGTAATGTAGTTAGGTATGTTTGGGAGACATTTGTGTCTGTATACGATGAGTCCCTTTTCTCCCTTTTACTTTTCATTTCTCAGAACATTGTAATCTGAAACCATTACCACCCCCGATAAGATCTTCGCGAAGATGCCATTTCTTAGGATTGCCAAACAGCATCCTTCAGACCAGAGCTACTATTACCCATCTGAAATTCTGTTACACTGGATTAAATCAACCTGAGATAAAAATATTTGAAAAAATTAAAAATAACAAATGCCAATGAGGCTGCAGGGAAAAAAGAACACTTCTACACTGTTGGTGGGATTGTGAACTACTACACGCATTTTGGAAATCAGTATGGAGATTCTTCCATAAACTAAAAATAGAAATTCCATTCGACCTAGGTATTCTCCTTTTAGGTATCTTCCCAAAAGAGTGAAAGACATCATATTACAGAGATACACATGTACCTATGTTTATAGCACCACAATTCATAATAGCTAAATCTTTTTTTCCTTACATTTTTTTTGTACCAGGAATCGAACTCAGGATCTTGAGCTTGCCAGGCAACCACTGTGCAGC